AGCCATTTGACTAGTGCCCTTAAGGCAATAGGGCCCTAAAAGCCATTAGCAGCATTTGCTAATGGGACGAGGTACCGCGCGGCCTGACACCACCGTTGGGTCAGGGTTTTTCCGCCAAGTACCTGTGACATGTAGACCACCGTCTTGGATGCGAAGGTAGAGAAGTAGCAGCGCACCAATCAGGAAGGAGAAATTTTCTGATTGGCTAGAGGCTGACTTTCAAAGTAACATTTAAGGCCCCACACTTGTAATTTTTGACACACACGTTTTTTGAACATAGGCAGCACACCACGTGCAACGCATAAGCAACATCGGCAGTACTCTACGTGCATTATAAATTGTAAATAAAGACAATCCTTAACCAAATCTGGTTTTTCAATCAACCTTTGGCAGCACACAACGTGCACTGCTGGTCCTTCGAGCAAGTCGGCACATTACGTGCAAACCTTCCAAAGCTTGAAGATCTTACGATCGCCACAAGCCCCAACATTGGTCCTTCGAGCCGGATAGGAACCAGCGACCTATGGATCGTCATCCGGATCATCAGGCATCTAAGATTTATCTTGGACCAGTCACAGCATTCGGATCAACCAAACCAAGCAAGGTGCTTGGCATTTCCTGAGGACGGATTCCCGTTGAGCAAGCAGAATCACGATCATTACGTGGTCACATTGGACTACAATTGCTGCATCATCTTGTGAGCATCCTGTACTACTTCTGACTGCTGACCGTTGGTGAACATCTTGAGACGATTCATCCAGCATCCACGGACGAGAGTACCTACACTTGAGGTACCTTATCAACCGACGAGAGACAACTGGTCCATGCAGCATCCAGAGGCATCATCATCCACTGATCATCAACAGCGTTACTTCGTTCAAACTGCAGCTAACGAGACAGACGTTCTTGCGCTAGAGAGACGACTATCAGTAAACGAAAAATTGCATGAAAAATTTGACGATGTACAAACACGAATAGAAACAATTGTTATCGGCACAAATTTAGAAGAATTGCATTTAAACGAACGGGAAGTATTCGAGTCTACATACTTTAATACGATGGCGTCACTCGAGCGCGACTTATTCAAAATCTTCGCGGTCCCGCACGACCGAATACGTTACATACACCCTCACCCGTCATATCTGAAACGGTTACACCACGATTGCCTACGATCACATTACCAACTTTCAGTGGGGATTTTGATAATTGGTTACGGTTTCGTGATACCTTCGAATCGTTGATTCACAATAAGGAAGGTTTAACAGACATACAGAAATTCCATTATTTAACCTCCGTGTTCAAGGGCCCGGCAGCACGCATGATAAGCTCACTGGGTGTTTCTGAGGCAAATTACAAGTTTGCATGGCATAGTTTAAAGAATCGTTATGAGGATTCTCAGGCATTGACCATTCATCACGCCGACGCTCTCATTGATCTTCCTCCGATTAGAAAACCGTCGGGTATCGTAATTCGTGAATTTAGAGATACAGTGAACAATCACATCCTTGCACTGGAGGCGCTCGGGCTTCCAGTGAAAACGTGGGATCACCTTGTAGTTCTCATATTAACAAAAAAGTTGGACCCCGCGTCGCGTGTCGAATGGGAAAAAAGGACCGTAAGGTCACAAAATACACCTACACTTCGCGAATTTATCGACATATTAGAAGAGCGATCGCGATTGCTGGAACGAACCAAACCGGCAGCTAGCTTGCCCTCCTCCAGTGGTTCAGAATTAAACAAAATCAAACCAAGAAATCAATTCCATGTTTCCTCCCATGTTGCAAGTACGCTAATTCAGTGCGTAGTATGCAAGGGAGAACATACATTATTCCAATGTAAGGAATTCAGATCCATGCCTCAAGCGAAAATGCACGAAACAATCAAACGTTTGCAGTGTTGTTTTAACTGCCTACAAACAGGGCACAGTGCAAAGACATGTACTCGCGGAGTCTGCAAAAAATGTGGTGGCAAGCATAACACCCTTTTGCATCGCGATTATTCAACGTCGACTTCAAACTTTGTATATTCATCCAGTACACCCTCGCCAAGCAAAGAATCGTCGTCACAAAATTCGACTGTAGAGCCAACAATTCAGTCTTGCTTAGCGAATTCTCAGGGAACTGCCGTCGATTACACAGTTCTATCAACCGCTCTAGTCCATGTAGAAGATATGCACGGTAACAAACATGAATGTTATGCGCTCTTGGACATTGGATCACAAGCTCATTTTATTTCTGAAAATCTTTGTAATAAGTTAAAACTTTCGCAAACTAGAATAAATGCAATGACGAGTGGTTTGGGAATGATTACGAATCCCGTAAAATCAAAGACACAAATAGTGATGCACTCCAGAACCGGTAGCTTTAAATCAAAGGGTATAGCCGAATAAGGGGGTCAAATGTGCCCCCAAACCGAATGGAACGAGCCACGGGTCATTCGATAGCAAAAAAAAAATAACCCCTGTGTGCAAATTTTTAACTTGAAATCTCGACCGTGGGGGTAGTAATGGGGTGAAAACGAAAATCATGTTTTTGAATTATTTCTCTTGACCTATTGAGTAAAAAAATGTAAAAAAATTCAGAGACATTTCGGGTACCGGGGCACATACTTTGGGAGATTTTCAGATTTTTTGATTGAAGAACCAGGTAGTGAAAAATAAAAAACAGCAAAAAATGCCGAAAAATGCCGATTACGTATTGAAGGAGGCCCGGAACTACTTTTATACTTTTACAGTAAACAGGTATTACTATTACTATTACTCTCAATTTTTTTCAGATTTTTCATTTTGGTGCGCCGCAGTGAAAAAAAATAAAAACCGAGTTTTTCCTCGTTTTCTGCGTATTAGAGTAACTTACACGTTGAATATTTATGCATCCTTCAATATATAAGTGTTTTGTAGACTGTTTAATGTTTCTACACTAAGCAGAATTACATAACAATTGAAACAAATAAAATAAAGCCAACCATTGGGTGTATATATCATAAAAAATCAACGATATTCTCAACGGCGTCGATGGCGCAGCGTTAGAGTGTCCGACTGCTGAACCGCTGGAAGTTTTTTTACCGTAGGTTCGAGTCTCTTCTGGACTTAGTATTTTTTTTTCTTCATTATTTTTTTTTTCAAATTCTAACTATATAACAATGCTTTATATTTATTTATAAATGTTCTGATAGTATTTTACAAATATTTTAACCTGAAATATGTATAAATATAGTCTCGGAGTGTTTTTTGCGTTTTTATTTTTTTTGTCAACCACGATTATTGTTTAACATCTCTTACACTGAAATTAATGTGAAATGTTAGTTTTCAAATCTCTTACCTTTGACTATTGTGAATGGATCGGAGCAGAAGATTGTATATTGGCTTACTATTACTTCTTCTCGCCCTTCGATCAAGCAGCTCTTTCCTTCTCGTTCTCTTTCTTTGATAAATATGAATGTTTGCTGCGGCTTTAGTATCTAACGTAGACATGTAAGGGCCATTCCACGCCAAATCTATTAACCCACTCTCTGCCAATGATACTTTTTTCTAATAAACCCATTTTTAAGTACCAGTTTGATCGTTTCATGCTTATTTTTGAATGAAGTATCATTGCTCGATGGAAACCACGGGGAAAAATGATTAATTGTCCTACCTGCGTTACGAAGGAAATAAAGGTTCGTTGGGTGGGGTCCCAGACCGTTCAGGTCAATGGGTGATTGTCGCGTTCGGGTTTCACAATGTATTTTTTAATTACTCAGTTCAAGCTACTGTATGCGATGGTATTTATACATAATTACTTGGCATGGTCCGTAGAGGTTGGTCCTACAAGTGTTTCCATTATCTTTAAAACCAGCAGTAAGGAAAGGATAATAACCGTTACATGTCTACGTTAGATACTGAAGCCGCAGCAAACATTCATATTTATCAAAGGAAGAGAACGAGAAAGAAAGATCTGCTTGATCGAAGGGCGAGAAGAAGTAATAGTAACCCAATATACAATCTTCTGCTCCGATCCATTCACAATAGTCAAAGGTAAGAGATTTGAAAACTAACATTTCACATTAATTTCAGTGTAAGAGATGTTAAACAATAATTGTGGTTGACAAAAAAAATAAAAACGCAAAAAACACTCCAAAACTATATTTATACATATTTCAGGTTAAAATATTTGTAAAATGCTATCAGAACATTTATAAATAAATATAAAGCATTGTTATATAGTTAGAATTTGAAAAAAAAAATAATGAAGAAAAAAAAATACTAAGTCCAGAAGAGAGACTCGAACCTACGGTAAAAAAACTTCCAGCGGTTCAGCAGTCGGACACTCTAACGCTGCGCCATCGACGCCGTTGAAAATATCGTTGATTTTTTAGGATATATACACCCAATGGTTGGCATTATTTTATTTGTTTCAATTGTTATGTAATTCTGCTTAGTGTAGAAACATTAAACAGTCTACAAAACACTTATATATTGAAGGATGCATAAAAATTCAACGTGTAAGTTACTCTAATACGCAGAAAACGAGGAAAAACTCGGTTTTTATTTTTTTTCACTGCGGCGCACCAAAATGAAAAATCTGAAAAAAATTGAGAGTAATAGTAATAGTAATACCTGTTTACTGTAAAAGTATAAAAGTAGTTCCGGGCCTCCTTCAATACGTAATCGGCATTTTTCGGCATTTTTTGCTGTTTTTTATTTTTCACTACCTGGTTCTTCAATCAAAAAAACTGAAAATCTCCCAAAGTATGTGCCCCGGTTCCCGAAATGTCTCTGAATTTTTTTACATTTTTTTACTCAATAGGTCAAGAGAAATAATTCAAAAACATGATTTTCGTTTTCACCCCATTACTACCCCCACGGTCGAGATTTCAAGTTAAAAATTTGCACACAGGGGTTATTTTTTTTTGCTATCGAATGACCCGTGGCTCGTTCCATTCGGTTTGGGGGCACATTTGACCCCCTTATTCGGCTATACCCTTTAGAATGTCTAGTCATACAGAAAATCACTGACAACATGCCGAGTGTTCCATTAGATAGGTGCGCTATTTCCATTCCAACGGGAATTCCAATAGCCGATCAAGACTCAAAAAACAAAAGACAAAAAACAAGACTCGGTTGGGTACTAGGTGGGCATTTACGTTGGCCTCGAGACAACCCAACAATTGGTATTCGCACATTTCATACGATTAAGCAGGATAGATTAGACAATGTTATCACTAAATTCTGGGAGATTGAGGATAACGTATCGATTCAAAACAATCAAATAGCGATAGACGATAGTGAGACACATTTTCAAAGGAACACAACTCGTGATGCAGATGGAAAATATATAGTTAGCATTCCATTCAATGACAAAATTGGAAAATTAGGGACCTCAAGGGAACAGGCAGAAAAACGCCTGCTGGCCATGGAACGAAAATTTGCAAGGAATCCTACTCTTCGTTCTCAATATAATCAATTCATGTTAGAATACGAACAATTAGGACACATGTCGCGTTTCATTGATTCCACTAATACATTAGATTCCGGTTACTTCTTACCACACCATGCCGTTTTTAAGGAAACAAGCACTACCACTAAATTACGTGTAGTTTTCGATGGTTCCGCCAAAACTTCATCCGGAATATCTCTAAATGAAACGCAGCTTGTGGGTCCAACCGTCCAAAGCGATCTATTCTCGATCTTACTGAGATTTCGAAAACATAACATTATTCTGTCGGCCGATATTGAAAAGATGTATCGGCAGGTACTGGAGAAAGGGGAGGATCGAAGGTTTCAGCGTATCCTTTGGCGCTTTAGTCGGGAAGATCCTATCAGCACATTTGAATTAAATACCATCACTTATGGTACGGCATCTGCCCCATTTTTAGCCACGCGAACATTGACTCGGGTAGGTCAAGAACATCTTGACACATTTCCAATCACTGCTCATACGATCATTAACGACTTCTACGTGGACGATTTATTAACAGGCTGCGAGACAGTGACGGACGCTCAACAATTACATCGCGAACTGACAGATATTTTAGGGCAGGCAGGTTTTCCATTAAGAAAATGGGCTTGCAACCACCGTGACGTGTTAACAGGACTGACTGACGAAACACGACAAGAAATAAGGTTTGATACGAGCGACCATGACCAGAACACATTAGGTTTGTTATGGTCCACAACTACGGACGAGTTTTGGTACACTTTCAAATCACATTCGCAGACTCCCGTGACTAAGCGCGCCATTTTATCCCGGATCGCACAAATCTTCGATCCTCTGGGTTTGATAGGGCCTGTCATTGTGAGAGCAAAACTCATCATGCAACAATTATGGCAGCTGCAATTAGGGTGGGATGAAACCTTACCACAAGGTTTGCATACCCAATGGTCGACCTTTCATTCGGAATTACATCAAGTTATTTCATGTAAGGTACAACGTAGAGTATTGTGTAGTAACGCTAAAAGCGTTGAACTGCTTGGCTTCGCGGACGCATCCGAAAGGGCATATGGGGCATGCATCTACATTCGTACGCTAATGGAGAATAATACATGGTTTGTGTGGCTACTATGCGCGAAATCTCGGATAGCACCCTTAAAAACTATTTCTTTACCGCGTTTAGAACTTTGCGCGGCACTTTTGCTATCACAGCTAGCAGATAAGGTCAAACGCGCGCTCGAGTTGGATTTTAACTGTGAACAATATTGGTCCGACTCCACTATAACCCTTGCCTGGATTAAAGGTCCATCATCAAGGTGGAAAACCTTTGTTGCAAATAGGACATCGGAAATTCAACAACTAACTTCGACCAAAAACTGGAACCATGTAAATTCAGAGCAAAATCCCGCCGATGTACTTTCACGTGGTTCTAGCCCTAGCGATATGAGCACAAATCATTATTTATCAATTGTTCTTGAAATAAAAAATATTTATCTCTGCTGCATGTGAATGAAAGGATAATATTCTGATTGCTATTGATTAAGCCTTTCATTTTCTACGACTGACCTCTCGGGATTAATTAATAAGTAACCTGGGCTTTTCCCTAAAATGCTTTCTATACAAATCCTCAATTGTTGCCCAAACTTGATCGTAGAAGTACATATTTCACCATGAGTGTCGCGTATGCATCACGTTACGAAGCAGTGTTTCTGTGTTCTTATCCTAAAGGACCAAAAATGTCCTACACAGCGACTTCTAAATACATGAAAAAGTCGAAGACATTTGTTAGTAAGTGGGTGAAACGATATTTGGAGGTAAAAAATGTCGATGACCTGCCAGATCGGGGCACTACGCCAAAGACGTCAAAAAAAGAAGACAAATTGATTTTACGGGAATTCGAGAAAAATCCACGTCTATCCTTACGTGGTGGACAACCAGTTTTGTGTAAGAAGGGTTTGAATATATCATGTGATACTATACGAAGAGGATTACATATAGGCAAATGATGTGAAATTTAGAAGCACAATAAAGAAACCGTTACTATCCAAAAAACATGTCGAGAAAAGACTCGCTTGGGCGAAAGAGAATTTAGGCCGCAATTGGGACAATGTCATTTTTTCCGACGAAGCTTCATTTTGGGCACGTTCTTCCATAACCCATACCTGGTGTACCCATGCCAATAAACTTATCCAGCGGACCGTTAAACACCCGGTAAAGGTGCATGTTTGGGGTCGTTTTTCGAAGCAGGGATTCGGCACTTTACATATATTCACGGACAATTTAAACGCTGCTAAAATGGTTAAAATCAATCAGAGAGCTTTGTTAACATCCGCCAAAAGGTAGTTTATAAGGAAGAACAAATACTGGCTACTACAAGAGGACAACGACCCAAAACACCGAAGTCGACTCTATACTGCGTGGAAAAAAGAAAATCACATTGATGTGCTGGATTGGCCTTCACAGTCACCGGATGCAAATCCAATCGAAAATGTTTGGGCAATATTAAAGTTCAAGCTTAGAGGAAAGAAGATAAATACAATTAAACAGCTGTTTCGGTAAATTCGATTAACGTGGAGGTCTATACACATATCTCAAGATTATGCGATTAAGTTGGTAGAAAGTATGCCTCGAAGATGTCAATTAATTATTGATAATGACGATGACTGGACAACGTATTAATAATAAAGCATTTTAGTATACATCATAAAGAATTTGTGTATTTTTTTCCAACTTAATATCTCAAATAGTTTTCGAGTTTTGCTGTACACGCTTCTGTCAAACAAACTGTATCTCACGAGCCCGGCACACCTTTACCGCTCGAGGTGTACCATTACGACAAGCAAGATCCTAAAACATCTTTAAAACCTACGTCGCTCCCAGCGTATAGAACACCTGGTTCGTCCGTGAAACCATACATTTTCCTTATAAATCTAACCCCGTGGCTCCCAGGGTATAGAGCCCCTGGTTCGTCCGGAACTTCTTTCTCTTTCCTAACCATACCTAAAACCACTGGTCGAGTACTGCCCTCGACCGAATCCAGTATCTCACGCTCGCACTCGTAACAGCATTAACATTCTGATAGATAATTAATAATTTCCTATTTCTGTTTCTTCCATATAACTCTAAATTATGTAAAATTGTGAATAATTCTGTTTAAAATTCAAGGAAACTTCATGAAATTTTTCATCGAATTTTTGCCACACAAATGTTTCTATATTATCTCCTGACGTCAATCCTCATACACCATTGCAAGAGTTCATTTTTATGTTCTTTTGTAAATATGTAACGATTTTGTTTTAGCTTTTCAAAATAAGAAACCCATCTCGTTTAATAAATTTATGACAGCACGATCTCTTAAAGTAGCTCACTTCATATTTTTGACAATTATATGCAATTTTTACAGTTTCATTTAATTGTTGTACGAGGACAGCCACATTTTTTACAATCGTCATACTTCTTTTTTAAATCGTTGGTCATTCTTTGCTTGTATTTTAAGATTTCTATGATTTTTCTTCGATTAATTCCTTGCTTAAAAAACTCAATTATTCTTAACATTATATCGTTTGAATAAAGCTAAGGCGATGACACTGCATACTTTTGATTTGCTTGTACTCTAAATGAAATATTTCTAAATGATTGATATCTCAGAGGTGACTGAACTTCTGTTTAAATCTTCATTATTTCCTCTTTTATTTCAGCATCAGCCGCTCAACGATGCACCGGCTTGTTCGCCGCTTCGGTAAGCACCCGTACAAGTATGTGCGGGCCCAGCATCTGCTCCCCAGGGTTTATCTCCAGCGAATGGATTACTCGCGGTGGGTGATGGGGGAAATGCGACGGAATCCGTCGTTCATTGCGTGTGTTTTGTGGACGGATGAAGCACTCTTCACAAGAGAAGGGTTGCACACGTGTGGGACGATGGGAATTGCGATTCACCCACGTGCAGCACAACATCGGTGGTCCGCCAATGTATGGGCGGGCATTTGTTGGGAGTTCATCGTTGGGCCGTACCTTCTGCCTCGCAGATTGGACAGTCCAGCGTACCAGAACTTCCTGGAACATGTTCTTGCGGGTCTCTTGGAAGAAATTCCATCAGAAATCCGGAAAAACATGATTTTCCAGCATGATGGATCTCCGGCCCATTATGCCACACATGTCCGCCGATATCTTGACAACACCTTTCCCGAAAGGTGAATCGGCCGCGGCAGTGCTCTTGCGTGGCACTCTCGTTCCCCGGATTTGAATCCTTAGGATTTTCCTCTCTGGAAGCACTTGAAGGTGTGTTCATTGTTTCTTCTTATCCCCCCACCCTTTAACGTATTCCTGTTAACATTGCGTTTCTCTATTATTTGTTGCGGAATGAAGTATAGTATATAATGTTATGTACTCCACCAGATTTATGTACAGCAATTAATATTTTAAATAGATACCTAAACAAAAATAATGAGGAACTCTGGAAATATTTAAAACGAGTACTAAGACATTTGCGACGGGCGAAGATGCATCGTTGCGGCGACGTGAAAGCTGTTCCGCAACGATGTGAAGCTGCCCCTTCAAATGAGCGGAAGCGAGATCCCGTATCTTCCGGTTGTCAGAGGAACCGGCAACGATTTGAAAAACTAGAACTACGAGAGACAAGACGTTTTAACAAAGCTTTGCGAATAAAGTTTCCCGTTTACCAGTTCTCAGTTTTAGTGTCGTATTGAGTTATTGTGTTAAATGAGTTCTACAAAGAACACACTACAATAATTTAACAGGTTGTTATAGACGTACTCCATTCTGGTACAATGGTTGTGTTATTTTATTTGTTCGACAATATTCGTTTGTATAAAAACTTTAACATAGTGTACAGAACATGTAAGATGAAATAAATGTCGCCGAGTGGTTGACAGCGCGTGCGCTGCCGCTGGCTCAGCGCCTCTCTCTCTCCCCAACACCCCGCGAGTACCAAAGGGTGGACCGAGCAGCACTGGCTGAACACATGGCTCTTCTTGAAGCCGTTAGAGAGTCATTATGATTAAACTCATTAGCAAATAGTATAAAATTAAAGATTTCAAACGCAATTATTATCTATGAAAATAATGGTTGTATCAGCATAGCGAATAATCCAATTGATCACAAAAGGTCAAAACATATAGACATAAAGTATCATTTCTCAAGGGAACAGATTAATAAGAAAGTAATTAAACTGAAATACATTCCCACAGGTAGTCAGCTGGCAGACGTCATGACCAAGCCGGTACCGGGAGTCAAATTCCTGGAATTGAGAACAGGAATGGGATTGGATTAATATAATAATATTAAACTTGTAAATATGTAAATATGTATAAATGTATTATATTCCAGTATAATAGTTTGATTAGGTTTTTCTGGGTTTCCCTAATCCTCAGCAACAAATGTTGAATCATATGTATTTGCCCGAGAAAAAGCACATGGAAGGTATATCGTTAGTTTAGGGCAGTCGATTAATTTTTGAGGAGGCGTGTTGGTTTTTCTATTCTAAAAGAGAAAATTTTCTTTTCGTGACAAAAACCATCGACGCGTATGTTGCGTTTCGCGTTTCGAGATACAAGTCAAGAGGGTGCAACTGTGTCCCTTCCTTGACTTGTTCAGACAAACTATAGGACCAATTGGGTCTGAGGGTACGGGATGAATTTTTCGTCACTGACCTTTTCATTCTACTTAGCCGACCAGCTGCCATGTACACGTGGCAATAGGTCAAAGGCGACCGCGAGCCGCCAAAAGAGCTTTATATGTATGTCGCGCCGCACGAAAGCGACGCAGTTCTTTTTAGAAATGACGATGCGCCGGCAATGACCGAATGTTCGGCCAACGTCTTACAACATTTTTCACAGTACCTCCGCGTTTTTCGACAGCAAAGGACACACGAAATGGTGCGTACAAACCCGGAGTATTACAGGATGTTCTTCGTGTTCGCGCAGTCCGGTGGAAACGCGGAGAAAGCCGCCCGCGCCTATCACACAGACTACCCCAGCGAAAACCCGCCGACCGCGAACTGTTTTCTGCCTCACAGATTGGACGATCCAGCGTACCAGAACTTCCTGGAACATGTTCTTCCGGGTCTCTTGGAAGAAATTCCATTAGAAATCCGGAAGAATATGATTTTCCAGCATGATGGAGCTCCGGCCCATTATGCCACACATGTCCGCCGATACCTTGACAACACCTTTCCTAAAAGGTGGATCGGCCGTGGCGGTGCTGTTGCGTGGCCCCCTCGCTCCCCGGATTTGAATCCGCTGGATTTTTTCTTCTGGGGGCATTTGAAGGTGTGTTAATTGTTTCTTTTTATCCCTCCAACCTTTAACGTACATATTCCTGTTAACATTGCGTTTCTTTATTATTTGTTGCAGAACGAGGTGTACCGGCACCCTGTCACAACCGAGGAGGAAGTGGTGGGGCGTATCCATGCGGCCGTGGCGACCGTCACCCCCGAGACGCTTCGGAGGGTGCAACAGAGCGTCGCTAAACGTGCTAAGTTCTTGATGGCG